GATAGAGAACTACAAAGATCGTCCAACAATGTCTGACATTATAAAAGAATTGAATGAAAGCATTTAGTATGATTTTAGTGTGATTTGGTGAACTATTTCTACTATTAGATTTGGTTTCTTTGCTTAATAATCATTTAAATTTTGTGCTCTTTGCTTTAAGTTTTTTCAATTTTTGAAATTTTGCCTGACAAGTGTCCGGAAATGAACGAGAACTGCCTAGGCTGCTAGCCCGTTTTCACTGAGTGCGCATGCGCAGAAGGAGCGCATGAATTAAAATGGCTGACGTGAAAGAGGTAAGACTATGATTATCCTTTAAAACACTCCTTTTATCATGCCCTATAGAATGGGGAGAGTGAATCAAGAAAGAGAAGAAGAGGATTTGATTCAGGAGTGGATGAAAGTGAGATAGTTTTCTAGAAAATTTGATGGTTGAAAATAAAATTAATAATAATTTTGTCTGTGTCATTTTTCTCTCTCCCAAGCATACAATTACCTGATATTATTATATTACACTACATATGTATCTCTTTTTCTTTCTTTTTTGTTTGATATCGCCATTTTGTCACTATAAGGCTAACAGAGCGATTAAAAAGGAGGAAGAGAATCACACATTGACAGTGATGGGCACTTTTCTCTCATTAATTAAATCATTCGTAATTAAATTTTATTTTCTCATTTATTGCAATTCTTCACTTAATATTATTAAAATTATTTCACATCATCGATATGTAAGAATTGGGATGTACACGTGTTACGAGTATTTTTAATTTTTCTTTTTTACATGTTTTTTTATTTTTGTACATGCACATTTTGTGGGTGGAGTTTTCTATTTTTAACCCTTTTACTTTTAGTGCCGGAGATGGAGCAGACGGGGGAACTGGTGACACCTGCTACCCTCCCAAAGCTGGACAGCAATCAGAGACACGCCCTAAGCTTAGCAAAGAAATACGCTCAAGAAATTACAGCAAAACATGTGAGTTAATTAAAATGGGTGTGGTCAATCAAGTGGGTGTGGTTTTGTAATTACTTTGATGTATATAGCTCAATTTAATTTTTTTCAATAAATGTACATGTGTTTGTTGGTGGCTATTTTTAGTAATGTGTTATGTGATTTTGTATCTATTTTTAGCAACAAGCGAAGCAGAGTGAAGTACAAGTTCAGCAGATGCAGTCATTGCAGGAGGCAGCCAACCAGCAAAGAGCACTACTACTGATGAGCCGGTGAGATACATGTATGTACATGTACACTATACATATACATTTACAGCACTGGTCAGCAATAAGTTGACACGTTTTGCGTTTAAGTTGCGTTTGAGTTTGCTATAGTTTATCATTTTCATAGCAACATACTAGTTGTAAACTAGCATTATCCATGCTCAAATGTTACCACAATCTCTAGCAAATGTAACTTGTTTAAATTTAAACTTAATGTGGTTGCTTATCTGTGTATTATCACATTTTATTGCTTTCACCAAACTAGTTTAGTATAGTTCAGCTATCATTTGTTTGTCAACTTATTGCTGACCAGTGCCGTAAATGTACAGTGTAATGTCTTTATTATTTACTTATTGCTCTAGAATCTTTATGCACATGTAATCACGTGTGTTCAAAAATCATATTTTAATGTAATTATTAGTATAAATCTTCCTTTGATTATAATCATTAATTTAGTCTTTCATTTTATCATTGTAAATATACATATATGTACATGTACATGTAATTTTAATTTTTGCCTTTAATTTTAATTTTTACACATGAATTCTATTATAGTTATTTGTACAAATCTTCCTGTGATGTACAGTAATGCATGTGTACATGTGTACGTTCAAAAATAACTGAATGGGAGAATGCTAATGCAATTATTAGCACAAATCTTCCTGTGATTGTAATTAATCATTGGTACACAGGATTGTACTTTTTTATATTTTATCTTCTCTCTCTCTCTCTCCCTCCATTCCAGTATATACATTGGTAGCATTAACTTTGAACTAGGGGAAGAGGCAGTCCGAGTTGCTTTCTCTCCATTTGGTACCATAAAGACTATCAACATGTCCTGGGACAGTGCCACCATGAAACACAAAGGATACGCTTTCGTCGAATTCGAAACAGCCGAAGCTGCTCAACTAGCTCTAGAGCAGATGACGGGAGTCATAATTGGAGGGAGGAACATTAAAGTGGGACGTCCCAATAATGTCCCTCAGGCTGCTCCAATCATAGCCTCTATTCAGGAGAGTGCTGCTAAACTCCCTCGTATTTATGTGGCTTCTATTCATAAAGACTTGTCAGCTAAAGATGTGAAGAGGTAAGCGATCACTTTTTTGGTTACAAAATTCCTAAGTTCAGAATTTATTTCATTTTCTGCATCATACTATTGATTAATTATTAATTTCATTATTATGTTTAAAATTATTTAAAATTAATTTCTCTCTCTCTCTCTCAGTGTTTTTGAGGCGTTTGGTAAGATCAAGAAAGTCGAGCTAGCCCCAGACACGGCCCCAGGGAAGCACAGGGGGTGGGGCTTCATTGATTACGAGAATCATAAAAGTGCAGCTGATGCCATCTCCTCAATGAACCTGTTTGATCTGGGGGGACAGTTCCTGAGGGTGGGACGGGTAAGCCCCTAGTAATTCGTATGATAATTAGCTAGTGAAAAGTAGATTTAGTTAATGTAACAGATACTTAAATGTATTAGCTTTACATTGGTAAAAAGTATCTTTAATTATAATCATTATTTACCGTAGGTCGGGATATATTCTTGGTTGCTTATTTTCGCAATTTTTTCCCGCACTCAGCAATTACCATGGTTACCAGATGCAATTTTAATTGAAAAATCCGCAATATTAATAGCAAAGGACTTTGTTGCAGTGTTCTCGGGTTGTTGTTCTTCTTGCTGTTACTAATCCTTTGTCTCTTTGGAGCTGTTTCAACCAAAGCTACTCTCTTCACTCTGCCTCGCCGTATCTTGGGCCATTCTTGGGACTTTCCACCCATTTATTGACTTGGGCATGGTTAAATATCACCAGCAAGTGGAGCGGCAAGGATTTGCAGCAAAGAGCTCAAAGGTAGACTTAGGTAGTGGTCCATACAAGAAGATAGCGGTCAATTGGTTTCCATGGTATTTAATCAACCTTTTTATTAGTTTTTATTATCATGAACATAAGCAGCTGTGAATATATCCCGACCTACGGTGTTTATTTTGAATAATTATTATAGAAATAATAGTAAAGGTTGCTTATAGATAACTGTCCTTGGTTGCTAATAGTTATAATAAGTTAGTAGTCAGACAATACATGTACATGTACATATGTATCTTAATAATTTTTTAATTCTAATCAAACCTTTTTAATTCATATTTTATTTATTATTTTTAATGACCTGGGGGCAAAGCCCCCAGGTCGTTCCTATAATTGAATTCACCGTCGCGCTATGTATATATATATATATTTATTTGTATGTCCACACTTACGTTTCTTCTATACATGTTGTATTGGAGAAATAACAAGCCTTAGCAACCACCCGCCCACGCTCCTTTGCGTGAGTGGGCGTGGTCACGGCAAACAAAATGGCGGCTTACACATGGAACAAAGTTAAGAGCTTTCTAACAGCAAGAGAGCATAGAGATACTGTCTAAAGACTTCTCTAGAAGCATTATAAGGTAGAGAGAACCCCTATAAGTCTTAATATTGACCAAGTTGTACTTGCAAGGTGGTGAAATCAATTATAGGAATATTTTTTTACCCTGTTACGCTTGTTCTTTTTGTTTTGTAGGCGTTGACCCCTCCCCTTCCTCTCTTCCCTCCTAATGCTGCTCCAGTCCTCCCTAGTCTCCTAACCTCAGCTGCTCTGGGCTACTCCTCAAGTCAAAATAAAGACCCTAACCTTTGTATTGTGGATGGTGAGAGAGGGAGGGATTATGTGCATGTACATGTATACATTATGAAAATGGAGAATTCTCACCTATAGGCATTTTTGATGAAAATTGGTGTACTATACATGTAGTACAGGGACTTTGACCTGATTTTAGAGCAACTTAAAAAATTCATAAAAAATCCAAACTTGATCGGAATCTGCTTAAACTTGCTACACAACATAAGAACTTGTATATGCATCAAGAAAAATTATTAAAATGGAGAATTCTCTACTTTTCGTTTTTGACGAAATTTGACCAAAATCCCTGTACTATAGTACAGGGACTTTGGCCCGATTTTGGAGCAACTTTAAAAATTCATAAAAAATCCAAATTTGATTAGAATCAGCTCAAACTTTCTACACAACATAAAAACATTTATATGTATCAGGAAAAATTATAAAAATAGAGAAATTGCTCAGTCGTTACCATTTTTGATGAAGTTTCGCTACTATAGTACATGTCCAAATTTTTGTATTAACTAGCTCTTCCTCCCAATTATCAATCCACAGGTGATGACAATGGTAACAAGAAGTCCATGGTCCCTCCAGTAGCCACTGTCACCAAGACGCCAGTACCAAAGACCGAAGCTCCTTCTCTTGCTGAACTACAAGCTAAAACTG